ACATTCAGATGCACAGTGAATCAAAATTGGTTGATTCACAGTCAAACTTTATAAAAGAGGAACTAGATGCTAGGTCAATTAACTCGTCAGCAAGAACCTATCATCTCCAGTGTCGATGAACAAATGACAAACCAAAGTTTCAGATGCAACGCAGTTTAAACAACTAGGAAAGATCGAAAGTGTTTAATCTCCAGTCAACCTATATAGAACAAGATTCTCAGAAAACAAACATAAAATTCCTACATTGTTATAGTTTGACTTCTATGACAAACAATCTCTCATAGCCCGAGCTGATCTACAATTTCAAGTGTCCAATATCAAAACCACAATCGAATGGGGAAAGGGAAACGAAAGCAAATCTAATCAGAAACAGCAATTCAGATTCGGTCAACATAACCGGAGATCAGCAATCATCGAAAAAACTAACCGGAGAGATGAGCCGGATCCTTGACTTTCTTAGCTAGACCACCACCGGATGCGGCGGAGGAAGCGTCGGCGACAATTTCCTTGACCAAAAAGACGAATGCGAAACCTCCTTCGCCGAGCTGCCTCACGATCCTGAATCGATTCTCATTGATCCATACGTCGCCTCCACCGTTGACGGCGTCGTAAAGTGCGTTCAATCCTGAAAACGAACAGCCCATGCTCACGAATCACACGCACAATCTCCTCTTGACCAACGAATCGATAGAAACCTTTCGATCTGAAGATTATGGAATTCGTAAAGATCCTTCAGATTCGCATTATTCGAGATCTCGATTTTCTTCGTCTCTCTGTGTTTTAATTATATGGAAGTGTAGAGATTTGGAGTTGAAGCATTCATGTCAGCTATACGATACAATACATACAGGCACACAATTCCGTGTCACTTAATTAATTAATTCATTAAATTTATTTGCGTTTTAGCTAATTGGTTCGGGTAAATAAACATAACACTAATATATCCAACAAAATCATTAACGAGAAAAAGTCGTACCAACAAAAGACAATCAGTTTATAATCCACAATTTAGTAGTCATCATGTAATATGGAACTAATATAACAACTAACAATGAAATACTTCAAAAGTAGAGATTTGAATGGCCAAATTAAGAAAAAAAAATGAAAATTCTACTAAAAAAATACAAATGTAAATTAATTATTCAAACTTGCATAATTAACAGAACAAAAATCTAATTGTTATGCCATAATGCAAGCAAAGTTTGATCGGAATGATGACCCAATAATATATTTCTTAGTCAACGAACCATAAAATACAGGATCCAATTAATGAACGGCTCTCGTTCGTCCTCACGCTTCAAATCTGTATTTTAAAATATCAACGGCCAGGATTCATAAATCCCTCGGTGGCGCGTAGAGACAGTCAGTGGCCATTTTCGGCGACGGAAGTAGGCTCCGCCGGCTGCTGCTGCGTTATACAATGAATGTTTCCTCCAGCAAGAACGATCTCTCTTGCATTCTCGATTCCCACAACCTTCAAAAAAAATTCAGAAGAAGAAGAAGAAAAATCAAAATCTGTTTTTGTTTTTGATCCATGAAATGAAACAGAGATGGTTTTAATACCGAGTGATGAGGAAATGTATCCGAGAGGACACGAATCGCTTCTTTATCACGTATTGGATCACCGAATTGTGGAGCGATTATTCCTCCATTGGCGATGTAGAAATTCACATACGATGCTGCGAGTCTTGTCCCTGCAAGTCTTGGTATAGCTTCACCATCCTGCAACAATGAAATCGATGAAATATTTGTTTCAAAACAACTTCAAAAGATTGAGTTTTATCTAGTCAGTATTCATTACCTGAGTGATTCCAGACGATTCTTCTTCAGTCATATAAAGGGGTTCCGGGATATAAAGTTTAATGACTTGAATCTTCCTTCCACGAGCATCAATCGAATTCGACAAAACCGAAAGAGCTTCCACAGACCTTTCGTATTGAGGATCGGTTTCATCGTCTGTCCAAGACAATAACACAACTCCCGGTCTAGCGAAGCAGCACATGTTATCAATGTGACCATTTGTGTCCTCATCCCCTGACAACCATTAAAATTTCTATAAGATTGACAATTATTTCTTTCGAAATAAGCGATGGCAATTGTAACCGATGTAGCAAGTGGAGTACCGTAAAGACCACGAGGAAGCCAGATAAATGATTGTACTCCGAGGTACTTCTTAAGTTCTTCCTCTATTTGCTCTTTACTCATATGAGGGTTTCGGTTTTTGTTCAAGAGACACTCTTCTGTGACAAGGCAGGTTCCTGAAAGTAGAATAAGCAAAGCAACAAAGTGGGATTGTGAACAATTATAAACTCAGATAATCTGTTTTTTTGCAAGTTATTGCGTTTTCAAGTCACTATGAAATGTATGCAAACCTTCCCCATCGACATGGATGCTGCCTCCTTCAAGAATCATCGAATGTTGAAATCTTGGAATTCGTTCCAAAGCGAGAATCTGATGGGTAGGAGAAGAAAGAGCAAATCAATATTTGTAATATGCTAATGTTAGTGATATGGAAACCAATAATGACTAGAAGGTTTATTTCTCCAAATACGGTACCTTTCGTGAAACTAAAAGGTCATGACTCCAATCATTGTAACAGCCATCATTAGCTCCTGCCATGGGAAAAGTGAGTCAAGCAGTGACTACAAATAGTTGAGAATGTAAAAAGGTTTCCAAATCCTTACCTCCCCAGGCATTGAAATTCCAGTCGATCCCAGCAATGTTTCGGTTAAAAGAACTGAGCTTTACTGGTCTTTTCCGTACAATGAACTGTATAAAAGAGAGCGGTAACAACAAATTGTTAGAAAGCTTTGTAAGATGGTGAGAAAAGGGAGAAGCTAAAGAAGTAAACTCACAGTTGGTCCAGAGTCGCGGAACCAAGAATCATTCATGCTCATCTCAACAACTCTTATATCCTCTGGAAGCTGTTTCCTTGCATTTTCCCACTAATGCAAGCACAATCATGTAAGCCAAAAACAGAAAGTAAACTGAGAGACTACTTGGTATCTGTATGTAGAAACTCAAAGATGTTTTCTTATTTCAGGTATGATTGTAAACAAACCTGAGCAGGGCTAGCACAGACAGTGACAGGCTCGAACTTTGAGATGGCCTTTGCAACATCTGCAAACACTCGTTGTGCGGGTAAAGCGTTGTGCCGCCAGTTATCTTGCCGTTCCTGCAGCCATATTATGACAGAATTATAATCCAGATTTCAAAATCACAAAAGTGGTTTGAGGTTTGATTCATGTATTCAGTGATGAAACAAATCGAAACAAACAACCTAACTGAAAATGCTTTAAATTCTGATTTGGTTGCAGAATCTGTAACCATGATAGATTGCAATGTAAAAGATCTCATCTCATATCACATCTAGATGCTAACTTGACATACAGAAGCTATACAAAATTTATCGGAAACTCTACAAAAACGAACCAGGAAGCAGAGAAATCATCAAATAAACAGAAAACAGCAATTCGAACAATGATAAACTACGAGCAGGATCCATATAAAAAAAACAAAAGGACAAAATCGAAATCGAAGTTTGATTTTTGAACAGCGAGATTGAGTTCTCCAGAATCGCCGTCAATTTTTACTTTATCTCAGGTTAATGAATAAAACATGAAAAAAAAAGAAAAGAGGAAGAGAGATAGAGAATTACAGGCCAACCGATCCAAGTTTGAGCATGAGAATCCCATTCCGCCGGCATGTAGTAGCCGTGTTCCGCCGGCGATTCTCGTGACTCCTCCATTCTTCACGATGTTTTTGTGAGAGAGAAGTCAGATATAAGCTTTAAACTGATGTGTATACCGTATGCGTTATTGATTCCTAATACTTCTTTTTCTGACCAAGAAGAGAAAAAAAAAGAAAGGTACACAAAAAGATTCCGAAACAATTTCTCAGTTTTCTTAAGAGACCCGTATAGAATATATTTTCTTACAGTTGGACCCCATCTTTTTAACTATTCGACTGAAACTTATGCTCATTACACGACCGGGCACGACCCCACTATTAGTGGTGAGCGGAATCAGAATCCAGAGGCGAGCAGAATCGGAATCCTAAACCCAATCTAGTGACCCAAACACGACAAAAGTTGTTTTGATATTTTTCTTTTTCTTTTCTTGTTTTTATTGTCATTTCAACCGTAATCTTTCATTTCAACAAACTTCTAACATAACAATTCAAAAAGATATATAGCTATGCCAAATAAAAGTTGTGTATAACTTAATGTTGATTATTAACAAAAACTAAATTAGTCTGTATAATAAATAATGATGTAATAACCAATCGATAGCACGAAGACATGACTAAGTACTGACCACGTAAGGAGACAATGACTAAACACGTAAGGAGGAGATTTAAAAAAACGCCATAAAGAGAGCACTAACCAGATGAAACCATAGGATTCATGATTCAAACTTTTACAATCGATTAGCGCTACAATATCAAAAACCTTAAATAGTCCAAAGTAATATCCGATGCCGTAAATATGATGATATTCATTAACCATCAAAAGCACAAGAGGAACACCCATTCTAGTTTCTAATCAGATTACAGAAGTTGCTAGCTCCTTAATATCGTCAGAGACTTGTTCGTAGTCTGTCTTTAACTTTGCAAGTTCTTCTGCAGTTAAATCTCCTTTCGCAGGTTTAAGCATTACCAAGACACAACATGTTGGTCGTTTCGTTGCCCCTGCTTGCGCAAGATCCTGAATTTCATAAAAAAAATATTGAATATCTTAGCACCACAAAACCGATTAATTGGTAAGATGATAGAAATCAAGAAAGAAAATTGGCTTACTTCTTTTGAAGGAACGTATACATAAGGAACACCAGCCTCCTCACACAAGATTGGAAGATGAGTAATAACATCAATAGGTGAAATGTTTCCAGCTATTACACATAATCTGCACAAACACAAACGTATCACATCAGATACAACATTCAAAACATAAAAGAATTTACTGTTTGCGTAGAAGAAGGAAAAAACAATTAGAAATGTAAAAATGTGGGTTCAAATCAGGCCCGCAAATCAAAGAACCAATAAGGAACTCAGAGCAGGCACAGACATTTGAAACCCATGATTCAGTTTCCGTGCACAGTACCATGCTACATTCATTCTGTTTAATCCAGAGCATCGGCTTAATTGTACACGGATATAACATCAACTACGCAAACAACTATCATAACATCAATGAAAACAAACATAATAAGTAACAAAAAGCAGAGAATGTAGATCTAAACCAGGCCGTCTCATCACGAAAAATCAGAGATGGCAGACATGTCGATCTATAGTTTAGTTTCCGTGCACAGTACCATGCTTCCTTCATTCTATTTTAATCCAGAGCATCGGCTTAATTGTAGACGGCTTTCAAAATCAGCTAAACAAAGAGCTGACACTAGTAGATAACATCATGAATGATCATAGAAGAACATGTTACCGTTTTCACAAACATAATCACAACACAAACAGAGAATGTGGATCTAAACCAGGCCGTCTAATCAGGGAAAAAATCAGAGATGGCAGACATGTCGATCCATAGTTCAGTTTCCGTGTACAGTACCATGCTACATTCATTACTTTAATCCAGAGCATCGGCTTATTTGTACGCGGATTTCAAAACTAACTAAGCAATTTGCAGGACAATAACATCAACTAATCAATTAATAACACAAAACATCAACACATATACATCAGCTAAGCCATCTGCAACACAAAACAATCATAAATCACACTCAATAAAAAGACAAAGAATGAAAAAACTAACCCTTTCTGGCCTCGTCTTATGCTCTTAACCACTTCTTTAACTCCTCTCTTCAAGCATTTCTTCCCAGCAGCTGACAAAAATTACAGAGCAATACACCAACATGAGCTACTAATCAATATATAATGAGAAATAAAGAAGATAGAGAGATGTGAAGCGAGCTTGGAACTGAGATTGGTACCTTTTTGAATGAGTTTGAAAGTTCTCTTCTGGAGTTTTTTGCCGGCGAGAGGTTTAGCGATAGGAGCAAGAGTAATAGCGTACTTCTTCTTCTCCTTTTGAATCGACTTCTCTGCTTCGGTATCGCTTCCCATATTTTTTAGCTAGCTAGCTCCAAGTAACAAAAATAATGGCGGAAGAGTGTGGCGGAAAAAACTAGGGTTTAGGCGGTTGTTATATGACCAGAAGTGTTAGGGTTTTTATAGAGAAGTGTATTATTGACCAGTAAAATATAGGAACCCTAATTTCATATGGGCTTGTTAATGAGGTAAACTGGTTGCATATAATGGCCCAATTATTTGGGCCTTCATACAGACTAAGATTTGCTACATTCATTGACTTTTGACTTTGAGATATTGTATGTTGTTTAGCTTGAAAATCAAAAAAATCAAATCCGACCAAAAAAAAAAAAAAAAAATCAAATTTTCCTTAAGATAATGTTAGTTACTGTAGCTGGTGAATGTTATTTAACCACATTCTCGCAAATAAATTCCAACGATTAGTATGAGGTTTTTTATCGGATGCTCAGATGAAAAGACTTTTTTAAAAACTTCACCAAGTGATTTTGCTTTATCCATGACATCCATTATCTATATATATTACCAAAAAACAGTATGATTCTATTACCAAAACGTGTTTCTAACTTGCTTGAGGAAATGTACAAACAACTAACAAAAAGCCATAAGTGAAGATTGATGTTTGGAGCTTGAATGTCATTGTCGGGTCAATAAGTACGTAGGAATATCATGGGGATGGAGATCAGTGTTTGCGTTAGCAATTAACAATTTTCGGTTTCATCATATATAGTAGAAAATAATGAACTTAATCACAAAACAAAACAGTGGATAATCCAAAAAGCAGCTCAAGGCATGGCAGAGTTTACATATTTTTGGAGTGAATTGATTCTTGTTGTTAAAAACTCAACATCAAATCAGCTTCATGAACTTGAAACGCTTCTAAAGCATAGATATCAGAGTGAAGGATTAAGAACAAGTACCCACAGATGTCATCCTCGCTTCACCACTGATACATCGCCTACTACAATATATAGGAGACTGCAATTGATTTCACTGGTCCAGAGAAAGCAAATTTAGATGCCAACTTCTATCTCACCTACAAATGTATAAAGGGCATTGTTACAAGAACACAGGAAAATTTGTACCGATTTATACAATGGCAAATTTGTACCGATTTGTACCTACAAATGTACCGATTTATAAAGAGAAATCTTGCATGTTGGAAAAAAGCAAGAAAATTTTGAAGCTAGACTTTTTGATACATGAAACAAAACACAACACTTTTTCAGGAACATTGTTTGGTCAGACGAAGTAAGCAACCTACAAGAATCTGAACTTCTTTTTAATTATCCAACGCCAAATCTACTTGATAAACATTAAGATAAAGCTAAGGCGCTTATCAGTCAACTACACACTTCAATAACAAGCACTTCATTAACTGAAAAAACAAACAAACTAAAGAGGTCGAATTCTCACCAGAAACAACAGTCACCTCTTCATCTGCTCTCTAAGAACACAAAATCCTCAGCTTTCCCAGAAAAGTAATCGGACTTGACTCTGTTTTCCCTCACTTTTTTCTTCTTTCAAAAACCAATAAACAAAAAGATTCAAGTCAATAAGAAAGATACAAGAGGCAAACGCTGGATGCAGAGGTTTATCGATCTATTCATGCTTTTACATTTTTAATGTGTTCACAGGAAGAGATCGATGAACCGCTGCCTCCAGCGACTCTCACTCTTCTTCCAACTAAACTCCAAAATGTCAACGAAACATAAATTTTCCGAATCGGATCAAACGAAACACATCAGATCTGAAAATTCAACAGTCAAAATCTATACCACAAGTAGTAAATAGCTGGATCTTTATTGCCTTATGAAACCAAATGGACAAAAACATATACCCTAGATTACACACATGCATCTGCAGACAAACTGGGAGAAAGAGAATCAGTGTGATGATAGAGATATGTCAAATTAATGAATCCAACAAAGAAAGAAAAAGGAAACAGAGAGATGAAAGTTTTAACCAGGAATCTTCTTGACCAGATACCATTTGTGATTCTCTGATTTGCCTATTGGCCTACTACATCCCTCCTCTCTCTCTATCTTTTAATAACAAACTTTATAGATCTGGTTTTTTCTTCTAGAACTAAAATGTATTTGATTCATATTTATAACTAAAATGTATCTAAAAGTCTCATAACATATTTGTCCAAGAAAAAATTGTAGTAACATAGTTATTGAATTTGAATATCATAAGATTTAGGAAGACATTTTAAAAATCATATTTGAATAACATGTAACATGAATAACATACTAAAAAGAAGAATGACATGGAGTTGGAAATAAATCAAACTCTTACAAAATACTTCAAAATTCAATACATCCCCTAATTTCTCTGATTAACCAGTGGACTAAAAAGCGGATGATTTGTTCAAAAAAAAAAAAAAAAAAAAACTTGGGCTGAAATGGGTCGTGTCTGCTGCAAGCAAGCCTACATATGTAATGTTCGGTAAAAAGCCCATTTCATTTGTCTTAAAAAATAACGAAATTAGAGCATGTCCAATGGTTAAGAACCATTTGATTCTTAACCTTGCATCTTAAGTATATTTATAATCTAAATTTTGCTTTTTGTAAGTTAAGATAAGTAAAAGAGTATCTTAGTAAAAATGAGCTCCATTGATGTATCTTACAAAGAAAATATCTTAGAAAAAAATTCAGTTTTTACATCACAATATCTTCCAATACAAGTAATGATACAACCAAAGTCATACAAGCATTTTACAAGGATTTTGAAAATATGCCTTGCTAACCAATGGTTAACGATGGCTGTGATGGGCGGTTGATTGACCGAAGAGTTATGTCCGGAACTGGCCGAAGAGAGTACAACTAAGAGAGAGACCTAATGCTAAGTATAGAATAAAGATGATCTGCATGGACCAAATCAAACCTGAAACCCAAACTGAAAAGGAGAGATAATCTGCATGTGATTCTGGCCAAACCAAACTTGAAAACCAAACCAAATCAAACCAATCAAAACGTTACAAAAAACTTAAAGAAAAATTGATTCATTCATTAGATAAACTAATTTATTGATGAGAATCAGAAAGACTAAACATAAGGATTGATTCAGAAAGACATATCTTAACTTATAACAGAAAGTTCATACAAACACTGAATTTTAGACATAAAACTCAAAGCATTCAGAAACGACAAAGCATTTGATCACATACAAGTTGAAATGAAATTGGAAACAACAGAAAGACATAACATAAGTTGAAATGCAACAGAAAGACATAAACTGAAATGCAACAAAAACACAACATAGAGACTTAACTAATGTTCCAAAAGAAAGTCAATTAGTTTGTTTTTAAGAGTCACTTCATTATCAATAAGTGGCTCTTTTTTGGCGATGAGAGATTCCAGCAAAGTGGTTTTCGATAACCTATCTTTCTTTTCAAAGTCCTCCTTCTCTTGCTCTCGATCCTTCTGCCTTAGCTCCCAATCCTTCTGTTTTATTTCCCAAATAGACTGAATCTCCAACATTGCATTCCCTTTGTCTTCCACAGTTGTTGTCTTGGTCACAGTCTTTTTTGCTTTTGCCTTTGCAGCTTTAACACCAATAGGGCGAGACATTGCTTCTTCTACTCCATGGGAAGGTGGCTGGGAGGTTGAAGGTTGTGCAGCCTTGTCACACTTTCTTCTTTTTGACATTACACTTGCTTGTGAACACCATTTTTGATCATGGCGAAGCACTCTCCAAGCATGCTCAAGGGGGAACTTATACCCATAATCATTGTTGAAGATTTCGTGTGCTAGTGATATGACATCATTGTCATTCTGTCCACTAGACTTCTCTCTTGATGCAGCTTCATAACTCCCTACAAACTTGCAAACACCATCATTGATCTTAGCCCACCTCTGCTTTATGTTACCTTGCATTCTCTTTCTCAAACCGTTCAGCTGTGGACTTGCATCATAATAGGCAGCTATTCTTGACCAAAAGGTATTAGCCTTTTGTTCATTGCCTATTACTGCATCTTTACTTGTGTTGAGCCAAGCACTGACAAGCACCATGTCTTCTTTGGCTGACCATTTCATTCTCTCTCTTTTCACCTTAGGTACATGTTCTTCTAGGCTGGGAGAGTCAGTACATTGAGTACTAAAGATAGGAACATCATCACACGGATTGGTTTCCAAAGTGTGAACCTCTTGTTGACTAGTTAAGAGGTTCACAAAACCTGATCCATGACTATATGGATATGGATCCATATGATAGTTCTTTGGTTGGTTTTAAAAGGAGTAGGATAGAACAAAAGGAAGAGTTTTTTGGTGTGTGTTAATGGTCTGTGGTTGGTTTAAAGTTAGAGATGAAACGTTTAATATATAATAAGAGGTTCATGATGTGTTTATGTGTTTAACTGTGACATAGCAAACAATCAATGACAACTACTACCAAACATTGCACTAAAGTCTTTAACTGTGACATAACAAGCAAGTAGTCGTAAATTCATTGTGACATAACAAACATTGCACTAAAGTCTTCTGGTAAAGTGTTTAGATGAAAAGAAAGAGCAGAA